GAGGCAGGTTTGCCTGAAGCAGTTTCCAGCTTGACTTTTCCCTAGCTTAGTGATTTTGGGACCCCAAGATTTATTCTCCTTTCACAGTAACAAGCTACCCCAAACCAGTGACACACAATAGTGCTTGTTCTCATGACCGCATGTCCCCAGGTTCAATCTGAAACAGCTGATCTGGTCTGGATTTGGCAGAGGGTCTTGCCTCCTTGCCTCCTTACAGTGAATTTGGGCTCATTGTTGGGCCATGTGTATTTACTCTGGGGCCCAGGTCAGAAGGGCAGTAGCTCACAAAAGCCTAGTTCTTGGTAATGTTCAAAGTGCCAGGGGGCAAGTCCAGTCTTGCAAGCAGATCCCAAGCTCCTGCTGGCATCACATCTACTAACATCCCCCTTGAGCAAAACAAGTCGCAGGGTGTGCCAGATGTCCGTTTATCTACCCAGCTCTAATTATCCTTTCTGCAGTTGTCTGGCAATACACGGATGGGATTCCTGAAGTGCTGTTCATTTGAGGGAGTGCAGTGTTCACAGTTGTCAGTAGAGGGCGCGAGAGGGATAGTTCAGGAGAAAGGAGGCCTCTTCCCATTTATTTCTGCTTTTCCTGGTTCCTGCTTTGCCGTTGGTCGGCGGTGCCATATCTGGTGGTGCTCTGCCATGGCACACACGCAGAGGATGAAGCCCCATGGCGAGGCTTGGTCACCCCTCCAGGTGCGAACGCTGAGGGCTCCAAGTCTCACCCTTGCAAGTGGTTCATTTGTGCCTTGTACCCCCATATCCCCCAAAGCAAGTAGCTTCCTGCTTGCCTTGAAAGTGACGGGTTAATTTGATCTGGTGGGCGGCCCTGCTTGCTTCTGGTCGCTTGCTTTTTGTTGTTGTCATTATTTTCCTTTTCCACGAAGCTGAAGGTCATGGTAGCTGAAGGCCTCAAGGCTCAATGCTAAAACTTAACTTTCACTGGAGGCTTTATAGATAACATTCCTAGGTCACATGGTGATGGTCACTTCAGTTGATTTTCAGGCACTTGGGCAAGCTCCTGTCCAGCTCAAACTGGTTGAGACCACGGACTCTTCAACTGGGTCTATGCAAGTACCTGAGAGGTGGCTGTTTGACATCAGAGGGCCAAAAACTCCACCCTCAAATCATGCTAATGCCACCACTTTCTGCACATATGTCCTGTTAAATGCCATGGGCCCAGGTGTGGTGGCACGCATACGGAGTCCCAGCTATTCAGGAGACGAAAGTGGGAGGATGACTTGAGACTGGACTGAGCTATGATTATGCCACTGCACTTCAGCCTGCGTGACAAAGCAACACCCTGTCTCAGAGAAGGTGGGAGAGGGGAGGAGAGGGGAGGAGAGGGGAGGAGAGGGGAGGAGAGGGGAGNGGGGAGGAGAGGGGAGGCTAGGAAAGGGGAGGGAAGGGTAAGGGAGGGGAGGGGAGGGGAAGGGGAAGGAAAGGAGGGAGGGGGGAGTAAAGGGAGGGAAAGAAAGAGAAAGAAACGGAAAGAAAGAAGAGGAATGCCACGAACCCCACTAAACTTGTGTAGAATGAACCTGTCATTTCATTTCTGTCCATTGTCAATCACCTATCCCCATGCCCCACTTCCTTAACCCATAAACATCCCTAAGGCTTGTCTTCAAGGAGGTGGATGGAGAAGCTATTCTCCCATCTCCTCGTTTGGTGTGCTTTTGAATAAATCACATGGGATCCGGACGCGGCCGGGGGGGGGGGGGGGGGGGACAGCATGGCATCTGTGACCAGATGTGGCTGGGGCAAGCCAGTAAGTGAGCTCTAACTGTACTTTCCTTCCCCAGAGAGGTCTGAACAGGGGTCACTTTCCAAATTCATCCACTCAGGTCCCTCACCCCAAGGGGTGCTTTAAAGTTGTCTTTGCACTTTTGTAGCATATAATTCTTTCTGTTAAACTTTCTCTGGTAAGTTGCTCGGTGACTTCTTTCTCCTGATTGGGCCCAACTGATACACATGGCCAAGCACAGAGCAGAGCTGGGTGAGAGCACTCTTACCTCTGGGAAAGAGATGGAAAAGTCATAAGGCAAAAGGTGCTGACACAGAGAAGTAAGAAAGAACTGGGGCCAGGGAGTTAGTCTACTACCTCTTCACAGGCCAGAGAGGCACCAGAAAAGGTGAAAAGCGGTGAGTTAAACCAAGGAAGCCATTCTGTACTTGGCAATAAAGAAAAACAAAAACTGCTGGGAATACCCAGATTTGAACTGGAAACTCTAGATCTACAGTCAAATGCTCTACCTCTAAGCTACAGCTGCTTAGCTGCCCCAGGGGCCGCCTTAGTGTATTTCACCTGTGTTGTTACACCCAAGGATTCTGGAGTGCACTGTACATTCTATTCATTCCTGCTTCCCCTATGGAACCTAGCAAACCCCCACAGACTGACCCGAAACCACTCTTCAGGCCACGAGCTCCCCCTTCCATTCTCCAGAAGCCCTTCACTTGTCAGTAGACACTTTCTACTCTGTAACCACTACCTGAACTGCAGCCTCCCCTCCTCTCACCAGTACTGAGTGCCACTGAGACACCAGGTTTGAGAATAAGGGTTAAAGGTGAAAAACTGGCCCATCTGTCCTTCCTTCCATCCTCCCTCATCTCCACCTGCTCTATCCCATTTGCACCACCCTTCCTGCCTGGGTTCCTCTCATATTTCACCCTCTCTTCCCCCTTTCTCTGAACCTGTCCCTAACTGAAGCAGTCTCCTAGAGACTTGGCAGGACCCAGGGAAAGCACAGCAAGACAAGGGCTACAGCCCTGAAACCCTTTGAGCAGTACAGCTGAGAAAGCCAGGATGGGGCATGAAGCCTATGGTTTGGGGACCCATCGCCCTGGATCAAAGGGGCCTGGTGTATGATCAGAGACCTCTTCCTCTGCCCCATAGCAGGGAATGGTGCCTATTTCCCTTGGCAAAGGTTCACTCATATTGTGGGGATGCATGCCAGTCCTTCCTAATAGGCAACTGCCTCTAAGGATACCAGGGATTCAGAGAAAGGACAGTAACCTAAACATCTGCGATCTCCATATCAGAGTACAGAGCATGCTGTGTTATGCAATGGAAGAGAAGGGCAAAGGGGGAGATATTCGTTCTCATTCCTGTGATGTTTACTTACATAATTACATGTATTTCACTTTAAATATATACAGGTATTGATCGACTTACAACCTATGTAACCTACGACCATTTGACTTTACGACCACAATTGCTAGCCACAACTGCTCTGCATCTGGCATTGCAAACGTTGCCCAGCTGGGCGTACAACAGTGCAGCACAATAAACATATATGCTATATCATATCATTATTAGTCATTTTATTGCCTTTCTTACTAAAATGTGAGTGGTTTATATCCCTATATCTTTAACAATATTAGAACATACTAAGTTTAAATTATATTTGAACAAGATATCCAGATGACATCTTTTATGATGAATGCTACACATTTGTATCCCATGGAAAATCACATAAAATTGTGATGATTTACTTTTCTATTTACAATGATAATAAATAAATACCTGGCAACTAGTCCTTTTTAACCCTAAGACTTAACATAGTTCATACTCTTCTGCTTTTCAAAACTCATCATGTGCCGTGGTTTTTCACTTCAAACCATAGAGCACCGTGGTTCAGTGATCTGTGAATATTCCACAGTTTTACACAAGGCTGCGCCTTTACCACAAGTTAAGGTGGCTTTTTAAAA